TAGCATTTTTTATAGAACAGCTATATGCTTTGACTTCTTTTTTTCAATAACAAATTTTATTTTATCTTATCTTAAATTATTTTCTCTTTTAAAACAGACCTAATCTTAATTGCTTATCTGAATTACAGAAGTTAAGTCTAAAAATTAGCATTTAATTATACTAACTAACTTTAATACTAATCAACTTAAAGACAAATATTTTTCAATATTTACAAGCCTGGATGCTGCCAAGCTAACAAGTTTGCTAGCCTTCTATAACATTTAGACATTTATATATTATGGCCCAACTACTACTAGCCAAATCAATAATTTCTGGATCTCTTTAAATATATTACTTATATTTAAATTATTATTCTTAATTGACACCTCTTATATCTCAGACAGTAATTATCATATTTTAAGTACAACCTGATATACAAACTTTTTATTATAAAAAAAATTCTAAAAATAAAAAGAAAAAAAAAATATACCTGTTTGAAAAAATGATATTAAAAAATTAAAAAAGCTTTAAAGATTCAATTAATACTTACTTTAATGCACAAAATATCTTAATATTAAATACAAACCAGAATAATATAAACAAATTTGAAACTCCTAAACAAAAAAATTAAAGAAAAAATAAATAAACATATTTTATATATCTTTATTGCTTCTAAACTCTTTTTTGCATTTTTACTAAAAGTAATCAAATTGCATTCTGCTTTAAAAATATTAACAAATATTTATACTATTTCTTAAACAACTTCTTGAATAACCTAACTAAAGCAAATTACTATTTATTAAAGGCAGCTATTCTTACAGGAATAGACATCCTACTAATTATATAAATACAATTAATTTTTCATTATCTAATCTTATAACACAAATAAAACAATACAAGCACACAATATAGCAAATATAAAACTTTAAAAAAAAATAAGAACAAAGTAAACAGATTAAGTTTTGTACAGTTTTATACAAGCTGAAGATATTTAGACTTTAAAGACAACATTAGTTGTATGCTAGATAATATTTTTAAAAGAAAAGCAGAATTATTTAATTTTAAAAAAATTATACAGCTCAATAAAATAATTACTAATGAGAATGAAACCAAAGAAGTCACATGCTTATATTTTAAAAACTAACAAAAAAAATCTTTTTAATAATAACATTTGGAAAAAATGAAAATTATTATATAATTCACTTAATAATATTAAAAGTAACATTTATAACAACCTTCTATTTTTGATTACTATATTTGAACATAAACAAACTATAAAGAAAACTTTTAAAGAAAAGACAACTAGGCCTTTAAAAATTGCAAATAAGGTTTTCTAACATCTATTACTATTAGCCCTTTTATTACTACTAAAAATATTTAATAAATACTTGATACAAGAATGCATTTCTGATTAATGACTACAAACCAATATTTGGCTAATTTCAAAAAATTAATATTATAATTATAAACTTAATTTTATATATCTAATAATACTAATTAACTATACTAAAAAAATTTTTACAAAGATTCTAACAATCAGATTAACAAACATTTTAGTTTGTAACTAAGTACTTTCTTCATACAATTTTGCAATCTTTCTTTACCAGTTTACATTACAACCAATCTTACAACTTACTCAAATATTTTTTTTTTAACTATTCCTGATACATTACATTGTGGGGCACATGTGGCACTCTAATTTTCTTTATTAACTTTAATGTTTAAAACCTACAGGTTTATATATTTAGTTGCTATGTACATTAGCTGTAGTGTTTCCTAGCCCCACCATACCACATTATTAACAAGTTTATCACTATTGTAATAACCTGAGTCCTTGGCCCCATGATGTAGGACCCCTTACTTAAGTCTGCAGTTCCCTATCAACAATGATCCTTTCAGGTTCTGTCTCCTTATCTCTATTGCCTTTTATAATAATTTTCTAATCTGGGATCCTTATGTTATCGATGTTTCTTGTTGAATTATCTCCTTATCTGGGTGTCATGTAACCCTGTGGCTATGTCATTTGACTTGTTCTTGCTGTAATATTTTGTCCAAAATTGGAAGTAGGCAATCCTTATAGATCATTCATTTTTGTAATATTCTTGTCCAGAAGTAGAAGTGAGAAATCCCCTTAAGATCATAACAATCATAGTCCCAGCACAGTTTTTTCCCCCAGTTGGAATTGAACTGGCAATCTTGTGAATACAACCTGGGAGTGCTAACCACTGCACTATTGACCTGCAGATTTTCTTACTCAAATTTTGAAAAATACAACTATAAACAAAAAAGAAGTCTATATTCTTTTACAGAATATGTCAAAAGCTTTTAACTCAATTTACATACTTACTTTATGCAAAATACTTAAAAGAATTTATATACATATTAGACAAAACTATAAACTTGATTTTATATTTGTTTTTATATAAAACCAATAGAGTAATTACTAGTCTAAGCTTAACTGCACTGTATCCAGTTGAAGATGATATCAATTAAGAAGAAACCTTCTCTTCACTTTTTTGAAAAATTTACTATGACTTACTAATTTTAAGAATACACAAAGAGTATTTAGAATTTTTTAATAAAATTTCTGGCCTATATCTAAAGAAAATATATATTTCAGTAATAGATTATATAAATAACTTATTTTAAATTACATTTAACAAAACTTTTTTTATAAACATTCTGTATACTGCCTTTTTTTTTTACAAATTTGCTAATATAAAGATTAATTTCTCAAAATCTGTACTAGTTATAAACTTTATAGACTCAGATAATTCCATACTTTTTAATAAAAAACAACTAATAAAAACCAATAATGAAAAGTCATTTAAATACTTAAAAGCATAGTTTTTAACTAACAAAAGACCAATATTAATACAAAAAAAAAAATTACTAAAGTCATAATTAATTTGAAAAAGTTATAATTTGTCAATATAATAGAAAAACAAACAATTTATATTATAAATAGTGTTATTATTCTATGACTTCTTTATTAATTATACTCTTTATTTTTTACTATAGTTCAAATAAACTTTTTTAACAAAATATGCATTCAATTGGTTAAATACAAAGCAAAACTGATATAAAGAATCTTTAACTCCTTTTTATACAACTTTGATATCTATATATTAACAAATATAGTCCAAACACAACTTTTATTACTAGTTTTAATACTTCAAAAAAACTTAAATCATTTTTTAATTTTAATTTTTTTTCTTGAAACTATATTTATTATTTTTTTTTTGATGTTAAGATGACCTCTTTGGTTTTTTGATTTTTATTAATAACTTATTGGTAATGTGATTCTATAAACCATTACAGAAAAAAATACAATTGACTACATATGTAACTTTTCTATATTATCTATTTAAGGAATCTACCTAAAGATTCTCTACCAATTATCATATCTAATATTCCTGTTTGAGTGTTCTACTTTAAATACTCTGAACCTGTAACCTATATTAACTCACTAGGTCATACACAGATATTCAGATCATTATCTCAACCTTAGGACTAATTTATCCTCAAGGTAAACCTTCTAGAACCTTCTGTACCCATTTTTACAGTTGACCTAAGTATCACTATGGCAGAACCAACACTTGTGGTCAGGGCTTAACCATTAAACCGCTGTGCTTTTGTAGATTTTCAAACAAAAATTAAAAGGTAGTTTATTTTCAGATATTAGATATGTTGGAAGTTTTAACCAAAGTAGGGAGGGTAGCTTATTTTCAAAGGTAACTTAATTTCGGTATTTGTAATACCGATCCGAATAGCTTATTTTAAATATGTAGATCAAATTTTTTTCATACTCACACGACATAAGAAAATTAAATACATAGTAAGTATTCATGACTTATTTCAAATTAGAACATGCTTACCTAAATTAACTTAGCAAAATGAAATTATGAACTTAAATATCTTATTTTAAAACATAAATTAGCGAAAATTTTTTATACTAAAATTAATTAGTAAATTTTTTATCATAAATTAACACGAATAAATTGAAATTAAATAGTCAATAGCCATAAACCGAAATAACTTATATTAAATACATAGATTCATAACATTCATAATGCACACTTTATTGTAAACACATATTAATAGATTTCTTATAGTCACAGTTAAATTAAAAAAAAAGAACTTGGTAAATATTCATGAACTTGAGTAGTTTATTTTAAACATTTAGATAATCATACTACTTAACACGAACAAAACAATCTAAATAGTTGAGAACCAGAATGGCTTATTTTACAGTAAACACAAATTGATGAATTTTCTTATAGTCACGCCCTAAAATCAAGCGAACAAAATAAATTTAAATCATTAATGTTCGTGAACTAGAGTAACTTATTATAACCACTTATATTAATAAATTTTCATTATACTGACCTAAACTAATTCAAATTCTTCAAGTACTTTTTTGCTTTAAGTATTCACATTCTAACTGTTCTAACAAATTAAAATCTGTAAAAAAAAGAATGTTAGTTCATATTTCAAAAAAAAAAAAAAAACCAATGAACCCTTAATTAAAAAAATGAAACTAATACTTATCCAAGTTGCCGTTTTCTCGTCAAAATGCCCATTTCAAATTAATAAAGATCTACGAAAAAATCTGGTAATCTTAAAAGAAAACAAAAAACGAAATCGAAAAAAGGTACTTGTTCGACCATTTTTAGTTCTTTGACAGATTTAAATTATTCGAGCACCTATTTCATTCAAAATGTTTCAACAGAACAAAAATTTGTGAAAAAAATGTTAATTCTTATTTGAAAAAAAAACTTCAAATAAAAAACATAAACACTTACATATCGTATTACAGGGGTTATACTAATCTAACTTAGAACGAAGATTTGTACAAATACCACGTTACCATAGAAGCAATGTTATATGAATATAAAAGTTTGCTACTCTAGACGTTAAAGACTCATGGTTTCTAGTTCTATATAATATAAAAAATTGTTAATAATAATAATCATTAAGTAAACGTAATTTTATTTTTGCTCATAGTAAATAAAGCTCCCTAAGGAATAAGGAAGATTATGACTGTTCCTAATCAGAACTAGTAGGCCTTATTCCCTTGTGCCAGAAAACAGAACGTCTTGATAAACACTTCCTTCGGAGTCCGACCAAAAGCGGCCCTCAACCATCCACCTTCTTCTGTGGATCTTCTCCAAAAAGAAAGTGCTACTAGCTGTATTATTTTAGTAGTAGTAGTTTCTTTTTGAATCAAATCACATCCAACTCCAGAAGGAACATCCGTCCGTGTTAATCCCTCCGGCTGGCAACTGACACAATAGGGATTTATAACTTATGAACTAATAATAAAAATGCTTACTTCATTTCTAAACTGCTTCTTTTGGAACCGTGGCTTCTTATATTTCCAGTGCGTAGCATAGACACTACCGGTGTAATGCCATTCCGAATGCAGAAATAGCCAAAAAAAAAAAAATCGCGTCTAAAATTTGTCGCGAGATCCTCTCAATGAATGTATGACCTGTCTCGAGGTCATAGGACGGCATTCATCTGATTGGCTGATGCAGATCAATTGCCCGGGTACTTTTTGCAAAAAAATTAACTAAAAATAATTATTTTTTGGATTCTATAATTTTTTTAATTAGAATGTAAGAGGTGGTTTCATAGGCAATTCTTGAGTTACAGACGATTTTTCAGAAAAGACATGTTTGACTATGGCGATAAATTACACAATACTCTTTTTTTTTTTTGTTTAATATAAATATACAATGCCATTAATTTTTTGTATTGCATTATTCACAATATAGCTAACAAACTTATGACAACATTAATAAACAAGTGACAGTATAAATATTCACGAACTTAAATAGCTTATTTAAAAGATCGATCAAAATCTTTATACTTAACAAATAGTATTCAGAATCTATTCTGAAAATCAACTAGTCTTTTCTTTTTTTAAAAAAAAAACCAATTTAACGCTACAAGTGTATACTTACTAAATTAATATGAATAAACATTCGCAAACTTGAATCACTTATTTAATTAATTAGCCAAATTAACATGAATTGATATGAGGCCCTGAACAATTTTACATAATTTTAGCAATATAATTATCATGTTTGGTTCAAGTTATATTCAATACGGCAAAATTCTCAAAGTAAAAGTGAAAGTCAAAACGAAAGTTAAAGCAAAAGTCATAGTAAAGCCAAAAGGAAAGTTAAAGTGAAAGTCAAAGCAAAAGGAAAGTCAAAAGTCAAACCGAAAATTAAAACGAGAGAATACAAGTGGAAAATCAAAGTGAAAATCAAGGTAAAATTCAAAACGCAAGACGAAGTAAAGGCTAATAAAAGCCAAAACAAAAATCAAGTGCTACTATGATGTTTAAGCATGATAACCATTATTTTACTGGCAATCAGTTTTCTAAGTCATATGTAAACCAGAAAAAAATCCGGCTACCATTTTTTCTAGGCGACGTCCAAAAAAGTTTCGAAAATCAAGTAATATTGTCAATTCATCATGATTAGGATCATGATATAATATTTATTAAAATATTTTTTTCTTCGATTCTTATTCATTAAAAGCATAAAATCCAATAAACACACTATTTTAAAAACCTAATCGATTGCAGTAACTAAATTTCCTCTAATAATAAATGAAAAAAAGAATGAAAATCAAAATAAAATTATAAAAATTAATCAAGAAAATGCAATTGCATCGGAAAACCTTGTAGATTTTATTTATAGTTAATTATTTATTTGAGTAAAAGATTTTTATAATTCTGAATCCAGGACACAGCAACCAAAAATTATTAAAGAAAACATAATGAATCCAAATAGTAACAAATGGCTTGAATTAGAGGATTATAATTA